ACAATACTACAATCATTAACAGATCATAATGAAATGGAACAATAATAATAGTTCCTTTGTTGAGCAGCCAGTTACAACATTGTGAATCCAGTATACAGTAGTTACATTAAAGATCTTAATAATACTCTAACAATAACAGAAAAATCCCAGTTCAAGGCTCTCTCAAAGACTAGTCATTGGGAATGCACAATCAACATAGGTATCCGTATATGTATCTTTTCCTTTGAGAAGCTGATCAACATTACAATTGGGTGTTACGGAATGACATTATCGCCAATAATAGGTTCATGACCTGACTATTTCAAGCTGACCTATATCAATGAAGAGTGCATTCCCAATAGTAGACAGGGAACATCATTTTATTGGATAGAGGTAATAGTGACATTTATCATTTACTGGTTCTGTATAAGATTGCAGTTAACAGGCCTCGTAGATGTTTGCTCCGGGTTTCGTAGGTATCACTATGATTCATGTAGGGGGGACTCTGTCCACAACGGGAAGAGGTTTTCCCAAACTCAGGTCCCTACATGTGTAAATAGATGCAAAAGTGCTTATTTAAGAGCTTACATATACATCTAGGTGTGTGAAAGCTTAAAAGTAATATTAAAGGTTGTTTTTGTATTTTCTGTTGAGAAGGACTTTTTGAAATTTGAGGTGCTCAAAGCAGACCATTCATTTGTTAGTGACAATCTGTTCTTTTTACCTTTTGTTCCCAGCATGCCACTGCATCATCTGAAAGAAAAAAAGTGCAAGAACATTGTGCCTCTAAGCCATCTTACATTATCACTCACAATCACAGCCCCCTCGATCCCTACAGAAAAAAATAAAAGTAAGGCTTACTCTGATTAGGCCTATTATCCCTTATTGAACTTGTTCTGCTACTGAGAAATTTTACACTTTTTGTATCCTCTGCAGTATGTTAATTCTTGTAGTAAAGTCCCTATCTGTGCTCTTTGTATCTAATTCCTGCTGTTTAAAATGGCCTCCACTGGTGGTTATTTTTGCACTGCTGTCTCAGCTGCAGTCTATTAAATCTTGTAGTAAACACCTGCCTGTACTCTTTTTCTTAAATGCATTTTGAACAATTCTCCCTTATTTAAAATGTCTTCCTGCTGGCCAGTTTTACATTGCTGCACTCTCTGCAATTCTTAATGAGGGAATGATTTGTCAGCAAAAGGACAGCTTCAGTGAACTACTTCCCAGTTTCAAAGCAGGTCTACATTTACGAGGAATCATCCCCTGATGCCTGCAGGGAAACTAACACTTCCAATAATGTTGATCTCCTGGGTCCCCTGGGTCGCCTCTTACTGGTATCTCCTGCTGATCTCCTTGTCACTACGGTCTCCCAGAATGACATGGAGGTCAGGGAGAGGAACCAGTAAGATTTTTTAGGGAGACATTCAGAGACTGCCAGAGTATTTGCAGTAAATAGGCATGAGTGAAAGGTGTATATTGTTTTTTTCATGCAAGGTTTGATTAGAAAGGTTATTGTATCATCAAAGTTACTTTAAATAAAGTATACTGTAGATAGATAGCACAGGTCGTACCTGTAAAAGAAGTCAGTAAATAATCAACTAGCCCAGAACCCATGCCACCAAACACTCACCAGATTAATAGAACTTGTCCCCCAAAGTCTGCTGGTAAGGCTGGCATTTATGGGAATGATTTTTAAAAAAAACATATCACCAATTTGGTCTCAGTCCTTGAGAAAACTAAGATGGTTACAAACACACAAAGTAACAAACAGTCATATACATTTTAGCTTTGCACACCCACGTTCACATCTGGCGTTCTGGGGTAGAATCACTGCGATTCTGACTGTGATTCCAAATTGCACTTCAGTAATGAGAAAATGCACACCACACGTGTTTGGGTGCCATTCATTTTTAATGGCACCTTGACGCGATGCAGTTTGGCCACGATTGTCACATGGTAAATGGCACAACAATTGTAGCAAACTGCAATATATGAAGGTGGTCGCCCTAAAGAAGCTCCTGCTCTTTTTTTCGGTGACAAGCTTCATGCATTCCTTTAGTACTTTCTGCAATGACCCAAAACACTATGCAGAACACGAAAATCAAAATTCAATATTGCAGATAGGTTGAAAGTCCTTATTTGCATACTTATTCTATAGTAGTGACCCACAATATTGAAATTAAAGGCATAGAAAAAAAGCCAGACATTTAGTATTTTCAGGAGGAATGATTAGCATGGCAACCTACATGTTTGTCATTTTAGGTTAAAAAAAGGTTAGTAGAAGATGCACTGGGGAGGATTTACTAAAACTGGAGCACACAGAATCTGCATCTGCAGCTGTGCATACTAACTAATCACTTCAGCTTGTTCAATTAAGCTTTGACAATAAACTTAGAAGCTCGGTGGTTACTAAGCAAGGCTGCACCAGATTCTGTGTGTATCAGTTTTAGTAAATCTCCCCCATTAGGTCTGCTCCTGCCCCTCACTGATATTCTGAGGTAGAGGAATGACCTACAATTTGCTTGAACTCTGGCACTGAAGTTATATTAGGTGGCCAAATCAAGTGCAAAAAATGTTTTATGGCATTTTATTTAAAGTGTTTGTAAAGCAGAAGGTTTTTTACCCTCGTGAATGCTATTCATGAAGGATAAAAACCTTCTGCATGCAGCTTTCCCCTCTCAACCCCCCATATACCCACCTGAGCTTGATCTTGATCCAGCAATGTGCACGAGAGCAGAGGCACTCTCGTCTCTCTCCCTCCTCATTGGCTCAGACATATCAGTGGGAGTCATTGGCTCCTGATAATGTCAATCACAGCTACTGAGAAGGGAACAGTGGGCAAGGTCAAAGCCGCGCCTGTCTGCTTGTCTATAAGACACACAGAGCTGGCTGGAGATTGAGCTGTCAGGTATGCGACAATAGGAATTGGCTTCCTGTGTTGGCAAACCAAGAAGAGGAGTAGCCAGAAGTGACAGCAGGGGAATCGAGAAGGGGAGGCTTCTGTGCAGAACCATTACGCAGAGCAGGTAAGAATGACATGGCTGTTATTTTAAAAAAATAAAATATCTGCCTTTACAATCGCTTTGATTAAAATGCATCACCACCTACAGAAGCTCACATGTAAAATATATTTCATAATTAACGCACAATCAATCAATTTCTTACATAATCCACAACAGCAGAAGTGATGAGATTTCTCCAAAATCAGATTTCTTTCTATAAATAAAATGAGATTCTAGCATTGTTGCTTTGGGACAAAAAATAAGAAAGGAAAAAAAAACAGGAAATCTTAAAGCAGGCAATCTTATTGTTAATAAGAGAAGCAACAAAACATGACTAGGTATATACAGTTCTGTAGCATCCATTTTCTTTCATTTTCCTTCATTTTCTGTATCTTAGCAACCAAAACCAGAGTGAAAATGTAATTCAGCTAGAAATAATGCTCTTGGAAACTGATCACTTATAACATTTCACTGGGAGTGGTGATGGTTTTGGCTTGGATAACCAAACTCACATTGAAAGGATTACAACAGATTTGTGTATATGGATTTCTTCATTCTGCATAATTATCTGAAGCAAATTATTGAGATGTGATATTTCGTCACTAATCCATGCTAGTTCTCAAGAGATAGTACAAGTGAACACTTAGACTAATTAGTTGCTGTATCTACTATAAGCTGCCTGCGGTAAATAATGTAGCATTCATTATTAGCTTAGCACCATTATTAGGGTATTAAATTGTAATGTCAATCTACTTTTTTCAAAGTGAAATGTTAACATGAGTGTCACAAACATTATTCTTTTCTATTTACCTTGCTTCATTCCACTAAGAATTTATTAATCCTTTCTAAGGTTTTGAGAGGAGCACAATTCAGTCTTAAATCTATAATTGCCTCTAGATTCCTTATTACATTTGTGAAAGTTCACAATGATAATTTCTTTATATTATCAGTGGGATCTGGTATATTTTCTAGGTAATACTGTTCTAAAAATATGATTGCTCATTTACTAATATTTGTAAACTTACATGAACCACTCACCTTGCTCTTCTTTTTGCCTTTGCATCAGTTGCATTACTTAATTGCAATGTTAACTAAATCTGGGGAAACAGAGTACTTTGGCATTCAGGATGCTTTGCCTGATGCTCCAGTTTTGGCTGATTTGTTAACAGTTGATACATACATCACTGTATTGGTCACTGGAGTTAAGTGCTCCTTTATGATCCACACACACTACACCATCTATCTTGAGGCAGTTGTAGGATCAAAGATGTTAACCTGGGAGAAAAGTTCCTAGGATGATAGGGGAGTGGTGCACTAAACGGACACTGGGTATGGGTAAAATGTTTAACCAGTATGGGACTTTGGACGTGTGGTGTACTCTCAAATTGACTTAATTGAAGTACTCAGGGCGCATGTCACATGCCTTGTTCTTCTCCACATGCTGTCACTCTCCCTGCTGCACTTGCCAGTAAATCTAAGCCATCAAAATGACAGCCTGAACTATAGCCACTATTGTGTAAAATATTCAGCCATATTATTATGTATTTACTCAGTTTTATGTATATGTTGATCAAAGTGGTGACTTTAATTCTGCATATGATATCAGTTAAAGCAAACTTACCATTATTTTTTTAATACATTTTTTTCCTATTTATCATCTTATTAGCCTTAGTTAACCCTCATTAGTGCTGACAAATGTGGATCGACTGTTTAATGTTGAGGTGGGAGAAAATTGGGGTTCTAGTGATCATCAATTTCTTTGGTTTGATTTTAAAATAAGAACTGGAAAATCATATACAAAGTCTACCATCTTGGAGCAACTAGATTATATGACAGGCAAGTTAATAAGAATAAATGGAAGAAAAAACCAATATGGTTCACTAAAGATTTTTATACCGTATTTTTCGCTCCATAAGACGCACTTTTTTCCCCCCAAAAAAGGAGGGAAAATGTCAGTGCATCTTATGGAGCGAATACCGGTCCGGTATTTCCGCCGCCGTGTCAGAATACCGGGCAAGCCGCTCAGCTCTTCTCTCCTGGAGGACCTTACCTGTTCCTCGCTTCTCGTGCACGTGCAGTGAGCACCCGGCATAGCCAGGTACCCACACTAAAGGGAGGACAACTCCGAGAAAGTGGGAGTGGGTACCTGTCAAATTCAGGTACCCACTCCCCCTCCCTCCCCAAAGGTCCGCAGTCTCTGGTCATCCCCTGTACTGTCCGCAGTCTCTGGTTGTCCCTGTACTGTCCGCAGTCTCTGGTCATCCCCTGTACTGTGTCAGCAGTCTCTGGTCATCCCCTGTACTGTGCCTGCAGTCTCTGGTCATCTCCTGTAGTATGTCCGCAGTCTCTGGTCATCTCCTGTAGTATGTCCGCAGTCTCTGGTCATCTCCTGTACCGTGTCTACAGTCTCTGGTCATCTCCTGTACTGTCCACACTCTCTGGTCATCTCCTGTACTGTCCGCAGTCTCTAGTCATCTCCTGTACTGTCCGCAGTGTCTGGTCATCCCCTGTACTGTGTCCACAGTGTCTGGTCATTCCCTGTACTGTCCGCAGTCTCTGGTCATCCCCTGTACTGTCCGCAGTCTCTGGTCATCCCCTGTACTGTCCATAGTCTCTGGTCATCTCCTGTATTGTCCGCCGTCTCTGGTCATCTCCTGTACTGTCCGCAGTCTCTGGTCATCCCCTGTACTGTCCGCAGTCTCTTGGTCATCCTCTGTACTGTCCGCAGTCTCTGGTCATCCCTGTACTGTCCGCAGTCTCTGGTCATCCCCTGTACTGTCCTCAGTCTCTTGGTCATCTCCTGTACTGTCCGCAGTCTCTGGTCATCTCCTGTACTGTCCGCAGTCTCTGGTCATCTCGTGTATTGTCCGCAGTCTCTGGTCATCCTCTTTACTGTACGCAGTCTCTGGTCATCCCCTGTACTGTACGCAGTCTCTGGTCATCCCCTGTACTGTGTCCGCAGTCTCTGGTCATCCCCTGTACTATGTCCGCAGTCTCTGGTCATCTCCAGTACTGTGTCCGCAGTCTCTGGTCATCCCCTGTCCACAGTCTCTGGTCATCCCCTTTACTGTCCACAGTCTCTGGTCATCCCCTGTACTGTCCGCAGTCGCTGGTCATCCCCTGTACTGTGTCCACAGTCTCTGGTCATCTCCTGTACTGTGTCCGCAGTCTCTGGTCATCCCCTGTACTGTCCGCAGTCTCTTGGTCATCCTCTGTACTGTCCGCAGTCTCTGGTCATCCCTGTACTATCCGCAGTCTCTGGTCATCCCCTGTACTGTCCTCAGTCTCTTGGTCATCTCCTGTACTGTCCGCAGTCTCTGGTCATCTCCTGTACTGTCCGCAGTCTCTGGTCATCTCGTGTATTGTCCGCAGTCTCTGGTCATCCTCTTTACTGTCCACAGTCTCTGGTCATCTCCTGTACTGTGTCCACAGTCTCTGGTCATCTCCTGTACGGTGTCCGCAGTCTCTGGTCATCTCCTGTACTGTGTCCGCAGTCTCTGGTCATCTCCTGTACTGTGTCCGCAGTCTCTGGTCATCCCCTGTACTATGTCCGCAGTCTCTGGTCATCTCCTATAGCATGTCTGCAGTCTCTGGTCATCTCCTGTAGTATACCGATGTTTTGGACCAGGGTGGTGCTGTGGACATAGCACACACTATATTTCCAAAAGTATTAAGACACCTGCCTTTACACACACATGAACTTTAATGGCATCTCAGTCTTAGTCCGTTGGGTTCAATACTGAGTTGGCCCACCCTTTGCAGCTATAACAGCTTCAACTCTTCTGGAAAGGCAGTCCACAAGATTTAGGAGTGTGTCTATGGGAATGTTTGACCATTCTTCCAGAAGCGCATTTGTGAGGTCAGTGTCAAGTACCTACTGATGGTAGCTCTATGGATCCACAGACCGGGATTCCCTAGGGCGCGGAGTCTAAGCCCCAGTCTGTTTGTTCACCAGAGCCCCTGATGGTGGGGATGGACTTGGAGCAGGCTGAGAACAGGTCACGGACCCTGGGTACACCCAGCAATAGTAGAGGGAACCGCCAGTGGCACGTAGCTGGATAAGAGCCTGATGTGAAGAGGCAGAGCAGGCCTCGGCAGTAATGGATGGATCCATGCAGGATGGATGGACGGAACACACCGTGAAGCAGTAGCGGAGTCAGACAGGCCGGGTCGGTAACAGTGGAGGCAGAACGGAACAGAGCAGCAGGCAGAGGATAGTCGGGTCACAGGCCAGAATCAGTAGCAGGAGTTTAGACAATCAGGAACAGGTAGAAGAATGGTCAAAATGAGCCAGGGGTCAGGGCAGGAAACGGTCAGCATAAGTCAGGATCAGGCGGGGTTCGGCAACAACAAGATACTCTCACAGGAACAGGATAAGCAGGGAACAAGACCATACAGCAATTTGAGCATTGCAAGAGCCGGTTTAAATAGTGCGCCCTGCGCTGTCATTGGTGCCAGGCGTGCATCAGTGTGCGTGAGTGCGCAAGCGCGGGCAAAACTGTTGCCGTGGGTGCCTATGACCTAGCACCCGCACGCTTGTCCGCATCGGAATTCCATGCATGCGCAGACCCGTGCGCCGCAGAGAACCTCGAGATCCCTGACAGTCAGGCACTGATGTCGGACGAGAAGGCCTGGCTTGCAGTCTACACTCTAATTCATCCCAAAGGTGTTCTGTCGGTCATGCAGGCCAGTCAAGTTCCTCTACCCCAAATTCACTCATCCATGTTTTTATGGACCTTGCTTTGTGCACTGTCATGTTGGCACAGGAAGCAGCCATCCCCAAATTGTTCCCACAACGTTGGGAGTATGAAATTCTACAAAATATCTTGGTATGCCGACACCTTAAGAGTTCCCTTCACTGGAACAAAGGAGCCAAGCCCAACCCCTGAATAACAATCCCACACCATAATCCCCCCTCCACCAAACTTTACACTTGGCACAATGCAGTCAGGCAAGTACCTTTCTCCTGGCAACTGCCAAAACCCAGATACATCCATCTGACTGCCAGACAGAGAAAAGTAATTCTTCACTTCAGAGAACATGTCTCCATTGCTCTAGAGTCCAGTGGTATCATGCTTTACACCACCTCATCCAATGCTTTGCATGCCACTTGGTGATGTAAGGCTTGGATGCAGCTGCTCGGCCATGGAAACCCATTCCATGAAGCTCTCTAAGCACTGTTGTTATGCTATCTGAAGGCCACATGAAATTTGGAGGTCTTTAGCTATTGAGTCCGCAGACAGTTGGTGATTTCTAGACACCGCGCGCTTCAGCATGCGCTGACCCTGCTCTGTCATTTTACGTCGCCTACCACTTTATGGCTGAGTTGCTGTTGTTCCCAGTTGCTTTCACTTTGTTATAATACCAGTAACAGTTGACTGTGGAATATTTAGTAGTAAGAAGGTTTTACGGATGGACTTATTGCACAGGTGGCAACTTATCAAGGTACCACGCTTGAATTCACTGAGGTCCTGAGAGCAGCCACATTTCACAAATGTTTGTAGAAGCAGTATTCATGCCTAGGTGCTTGATTTTATACACCTGTGGCCATGGAGGTGATTGGAACACCTGAATACAATGATTTGGAGTGGTGTCCCAATACTTTTGGCAATATAATGTATCTTGATTTCAGCAAGGCATTTGATACAGTTCCACATAATGATCTAATACAAATGTTGTACAAGCTAGGACTTGGGTGGTTCGGTGGATATGCAGCTAACTAAAGAATAGATACCAGAGTGTGGTTGTAAATGGGATTCACACAGAACAGAGACCAGTCACTAGTTGTGTACCACAAGGTTCTGTACTAGGTCCTGTTCTATTTAATCTGCATGTAAGTGACATAACTAAAGTGTTGTTGGGTAAGGCATGTCTTTTTGCTGAGGACACAAAGGTGGGTAATAGGGTTGATATCCCTGGAGATGTCTGTAACATGGAACATGATTTGGCATTGCTGGAAGATTGGTCAAGGTGGAAATTGCAGTTCAATTTTTCTAAATATAAAATAATGCACCTAGGTGCTAGTGCACCTAGGGAAAAAGAATCCCTTGAGAGAGTACAATATTGGGGGTATGGTGTTGGCCAGCACTTCAGAGAAAAAGGACTTGGGGGCACTTATTTTAGATGATTGCAAAATGAGCAAACAGTGTGGTCAGGCAGTGGGGAAAGCGAATAGAATTCTAAGATGCATCACTAGAGAGGTCACCAGCAGGAGGAAAAAGGTCCTGATTCCCCTATATAGACCTCATTTAGAATACTGTGTCCAGTTCTGGAGACTTCACTTACAAAAGATATTGTTAAGATGTAACGAGTCCAGAGCAGGGTAACAAAAATGGTCTGGGGGATGAAACATACCAAGAGCGACTTAAGGAACTTAACATGTACAGTCTAGAGGAAAGACAGGAAAGGGGAGACATGACTGAAACCTTTAAATACATCAAGGGGATGAATAAGGTTCAGGAGGGCAGTATTTTCAACATGAAACTAAAATCAAGAACACAAGGACATGACCTTAAACTAACTGGAGGAAAGTTCAAAATTTATCTCCGAAAGTACTATTTTACTGAAAGAGTAGTTGATGCTTGGAATAAACTTCCAGCAAAGGTAGTGAGCCAGTCAAGAGTAAATAGCTTCAAACATTCTTGGGACAAACATAGATCTATACTGAGACAAAAAAGTTAACAACCCCCCCAATAAAAACCACACACACACAGAAAAAACGGGCAGACTCAAAGGACCACTCAGTCTTTTTCTGCCGTAACTTTTCTGTTTCATTTAACCCACCCCCCTTACCCCCTTACATATAATTTTTCTGTAGATTTATTATATTTGTATTTTTTCAAACAATATTTTTAAGCTTTTACATGTTTTTTTTCTTTACTTTTCTTGTCACAAACAAAAATGGTTTCATTGGTAAAAAGTAGAGATGAGCGAAGTATTCAAAAATCCGATTCGACTGATTCGGCAAATTCGTGGAAAAATTTCGATTCGAGTCGAATATATTCGCTGCGAATTTAACTTATAAAAGGGTGTTTCTAGGCTTCAGAGAGCCTTTATATTAGTGCAGAACACTGTACCTTTAATTTAAATGCCCTTGGAGTCTGCTGGGAAGAGAAATAATACTGACAGTCAGTATGACATGCAGATGAGTGCCGTCGATCTTAGAATCACCGCACACTTCACTCATTTGGGCAGTCACGGGGCCAAAACCAGAGTGTGGAGCCACAGTGTGGCGGTGGAGGCAGCAGCAATGGGAGGCCATACAGCACCCTATGACAAAAATGGAAACCACCAGCAGTGTGAGGAGACCTGAAAGTGGCACATGGCAGAGTGTGGCGATGGAGACAGCAGCAATGGGAGGCCGTACAGGGACCCATGACACACTCTGGACCTGGCAGCAGCATGAGGAGGCGGTACAGGGGCCCATGACAGATTACGGGCCTGGCAGCAGCATGAGGAGTCGGTACGGGGGCCCATGGCAGATTACGGGCCTGGCAGCAGCAATGGGAGGCCGTACAGGGACCCATGACACACTCTGGACCTGGCAGCAGCATGAGGAGGCGGTACAGGGGCGCATGACAGATTACGAGCCTGGCAGCAGCAACTTGGACAGGAGGACGTTCAGCTTC